AGAAGGGGGAGAGTTCAATTTCGGCGGCGGCACAATGGATGACGGCGTCGTTGCGGGATAGAAAATCCCACCCCAGGATGACGTCATGAGAGCATGCGGGAATGATGATGAATTGGGCGACATACAGAACGTCCTGAACGACAACGCGAGCTGTGCACCCTGCTGTAGGATGGATACGATGCAAACCGGCGGTACGAAGGGACAATCCAGAAATTGGCGTCGTCACTTTACGAAGCAAGCGGCAAAACTTTTCGTCCATAACAGATACTGCAGCTCCTGTGTCAATAAGAGCAGATGCGTGAACACCGTCCACAAGCACGTCAATGACATTAGATGGGCGGCTCTGAGGGCTTTCACAATGCGATAGCATCGCAGTCCTTGCCTCGGGGACTGCGACGACTAGTTTTCCCGCTCGTGAGCAGCTGAACTTGGCCGCATGGGGGACGGGGAACGACGTCGTGGAGACGGTGACCTACGAGAAGATGAAGCTAGGCGAGTCGACGGTGGCATAGACGGCGTTTCCTCGTGATAGGTACGCCTAATCTGGCCAGCAACAGGCGACGAGATATGGGGCGTCTGTACGCGAGTGCAATAACGTGCTACGTGGCCGGCGTAACCGCAGGCAAAGCAAATGGGCCGGTTGTCGGATGTGCGCCATCGGTTCGCCGGGGTAGGTCTTGTCCATGACGCAAGAGCCGATGGACGGAACGGTGGCTGGAAAGGCTGCAGGGGGTGCTGGAGCTGAGTCTGAGAGGTCACGTCAACATACGTAGCCGGCATACCCGCTGCAAAGGATGGAGGTCGTGCGGCAGCTTCGGCATAAGTCAGTGGGGCGGGCGCTTGAACGACTGGAGGCGGCCTGGGGACCACTTGGGCGTAACTTGGGGGTACAGGAGCCGGAAGCTGTTGTGGGTGGTACGCAGGCATAACCTCCGCTATTTCCTGCTCAATCGCTCGGCGGATGGGGGGGGAAAATGGTAGTGGCCGATTGTTGAGCAGCCGGTGGGTGGGCGAAGGGCAGGAGAGAGAACTGCCGTGCGATTTCCTCACGTATGAAGGACTTGAGGTCTGCCAGCAGTGCCACCTGGTCACAGCTCGCCTCCAAGCCTGCAAGCCCTGCATCTCGTGGTGTTGAGCGACGGGTCATCGAACGCTGCCGGCGGAGCTCCTCGTAGCTCTGGCACAGCGTGATGACCTCAGCTACTGTGCCTGGGTTTTTGGCCAGCAGCATCGTGAAGGCATCATCGGCAATGCCCTTCATGACGTTCCGGATCTTGTCTGATTCGGACATGCTGTCGTTGCATTTCTTGCATAGGTCCAAGACGTCTTCAATGTAGCTGGTGAATGATTCACCGGCCTGCTGAGCGCGTTCGCGTAAGCGCTGCTCGGCTTGCAGCTTACGAACGGCAGGGCGGCCAAAAACGTTGGTGATAGCGGTCTTAAAATCGGGCCAGGTTGCGAAATCAGACGCGTGGTTGTTATACCACATGCCGGCCACACCCGCGAGGTAGAAAACCAGGTTGCCGAGTTTACCTGCCTCGTCCCAATGATTGGGGACGCTGACGCGTTCGTACATGACGAGCCAGTCCTCGACGTCGGTGCCATCCGCGCCGGTGAAGACAGGTGGGTCGCGGATGCGGGGGACACCGGAACATGGCGTCGGCGCAGGAGGAAGCGTTTGCTGGGCGGCGTCTTGTTGCATGGTTGAAGGCACGGTACGGGATCTAAGCTCCAAGGGCATCGAATGTGAACTGAAGATGTTTGAAGGACACAGCACTCTCCACCAAAATGTTAAGGCGTTTAATAGCCGGTCCACAGCGAGCAAGCACAATGGCGACCGTAACGGCCAAGCACGGGCTCTCAGTGCGAGCGGCCTCCTTGTTGGGTAGCCCCACTAGAAGGTACTCAAGAGTTCGACCCATTTCATAGTTCGGAGGCTTCGCTATATTTCGGGTATATATTTCGAGTAAGCAAGACATTGAAAGGGGGATATAGGAGGCAAACATAGAAATCTGAGGTATCGTTTGAGGTTTGATTTTGTAATGATTTACTACTTCAACCTGTAATAGGCAATTATATTAGCGATTCAGCACGTCATTTATTCACTTTCTGAAGTCACATGGTCAATACAAGCCTGAAAAAAAAACACTGACAGTGCTGAAAGTCAATGCAGAATAAACCAGCAAGGTCTACAATGATTTGAAATGCAGAAATAATAAAAAAATACTCGCAGTAATTTACCTAAAATCACAAAAGACCCTTCTGAAACATGCGGCTGCTACCCGCGTCGTTCAAGATAGTGTGCTTCCACTTCTAGAAGCACACGACTGACAGGGCAGTGGAAATCGCTAAGGGAATCGCTGGGCTGGCCATGCTACGAAATTCCTCAAGTTTCGCGGTAGTGGAGCTGAATTAGGCACAATAATTAGGATGTACAAAACCTACGCAAGACTGAGAACACCTCACTTTTTTTCTCATAACGATTCAGCTTTTTAAGTGACTTCTTTGCATTTTGACCCACATGTTTAAATTAATCGGTCATGGTTTCAAAATGCCACAAAATTAGAAGCATATGCGTTTTCCACAACACTCACGACTCAGACTACCTTGATGGGGTCAACCACCACCACCTTCTGCAACAGCCGAGGCATACTTCTCCTCAGAACACTTTTTAGAATATTTTGAAGTATTTTTCACACAATGCTCAAGGTGAGCACTGTAAGGTTTTGCAGTCATAATTGAAGAGAGATAAAAAGCAAGCGATGAATTATTTCAGGTGTGCAATACAGTCTTGTACTCGATGTACTTTTCACACACGATAATTTTTTATTGGTTCACACAATTGTCGTTGACGCTGTTTAATTTATAAAATACATTAACCAAGCAATTTCTAAGCCATACTACTTGAAACTAACCCTTCGTAATTGTCCACGTCACACACCATACACGCTCACCAAAGTGATTTTGTCTAAGTTTTTAAAACACTAGTGTAACACGTTTGGAACTCTCCTCCTTGTGTTTTAATGGTGAAATTTGTTTTTAATTGCAATGAAAAGATATCGGTTTGCATATTGTCGCTGGTGAAAGCTGGTCTACAGTAGAGATTGGTGAGAATTGCCAGTGGGTGATTACATTTCATTTTCAAAATAATGAAAGAGGTATTAAATGTAGCATGCTTTATCGTGTGCATTTTTCAAAAGGTTTTGATATCAGATCGTTTCATAGCTTCTTGCTTGTTTCGTTTGAGCCGAAGAACAATTAGCAAGTTATTAAGACGTGGAAGGCTTAGGTAGGCACGTAGTTGAAACATAAAGTACAGAAGACTTCCAAGGATTCATGGTCGTTTGAGTAGCTCATACTGATAACTTCTGCCTCTTTTGCTTTTTCCAACATTATTTTCTCTGAACCCACTGAATATGATGTTAACGCTTTCTCAGCATTTTTGGGGTGATCGTGCGCCCTGCGGTCATTCGAATTCATTCTTTCTTTTAGTCACCGTAGTATGTTACAGCTTTATGAACCTACTTGCATAGCCATCAGTTCTACTCATGCATAGCAGGACCACAGTTGGTTTTTTTTTTTCAAATGTCACAATAATGGACGAACAGACTTCAGTGTCAGCGACGGTATCATGTTTGAAAATATATTGAAATAAATGAAGCAAAAAAAGGACGAAGACTTGGAGAAGCTGACTCCAACCCGTAACAATATTCTTCTCACAAAATAAGTGGGGCAAATACATTCACTGTGTGCGCATGCACTTTGATCTCAAGAAACTGCCGAGAAGCTGCTTTTAATTGTAGCTTTTTGATAGTCTCTATAAACCAAAGTGTGCTGCGTAAAGATGTATGTCATAAGGCCATTCAAACACAAACAAGGTGTGGATCTAACTGCTTGATCAAGCCATCGGGTGGAGCCAACCAAAATCGGTATCCCGTTCCGCTTATCCGGTATTTAGTACAAAAGAGTACTGGCAATACATAACACAGTATCGGTGTAAGCTATTTGCGCAAATTGCATGTAACCTCAAAGTCTACATCTTCCCAGAAGCTGAAGAGAGCATACGGCATGGGGGGGGGGGGGGGCAGCTTCATTCTTAATCTTCGAAACCGTAGAACGATTTGAAATGCTGGCCTCTGGTAGAGAAATCACAGTAAGGGCCACACGTGCTCGGGATATTCCATCGGCACATTTCGCAATCGACTACGCAATGATTATTTCCAACATAGAATTGCGTAGTAACACGGTAAAAATTGATAAACATATCAATACAGAGGCTGAAGTAAATTTTGGGTCGCAGTCTGTGGCATACTGCCATACATTCCAAATGAACGCAACAGAATATACGAGGTTTGAGTGTATCATGTTTTCCTTCTTGTTACATCAAATGGTTGCATAAATTGGAACTAGTAGTCTGGCTCACGATCACCACGAAAACTGGAACACTTATTCGTACGCTCATACTACACATATTTCATCAAAATAAAAATAAATCAATAATTTTAAAAGAGTTGCTTGTTCATATTTCTAATATTGGTCTTAAGAAAAATAGTATTGTTTCGTTTCTCTCGTGTATTTATCACGACTCTGCGGTCTTTAGTTGCACCTAATCTTGGCGACATCAATTTTGCAGTTAGAATGCACTATTCAGAAGACCTTACTGACAAGTCACAAATAATGTTAATTTTAGGTTAATATTCATGCTGTGCCGAAATTTATGTTTTAGAACTGACATATTATTGTGTGTAGATGTGCATGCATTTGTCACTTTCTCGCTTGATGCGTTTGTTGTAAACATTACAAAAAATACAATCACGTCAGAGAACGTAAGCAGCAAACGCCGCCCGAAAGCACCAAGCTCTTCTTGAATGAAATTATTTAAAATAAATACATCGTCTCTCTAACTATGAGTTGTCGATTTGGAAAGAGGTGTCTCTGCAGAAAGAATGAATGTCTTAATCAACGCTCTAATTTATTTGAACTTTTTGTTCTTACTGCAGGGAGATTCCGGAGGACCCCTGATGGTCGAGGGGGACAGCACTCAGTGGACATTAATAGGAGTTGTGTCGTGGGGCATAAAGTGCGCCGAAAAGGGCCTGCCGGGTGTCTACACGAGGATCACAGAATTTCTCGGCTGGATCTACGAGAATGCTGTGTGATAACAGATTGAAATATCGACAAAGACGCCACCATTCACAGGGAATCAACTCATGCTCAGTCATCCCCATACTTCTCATCTGCCAAGGAGGGAACCTAGGAAATAGTTTCAAGAGTGAAATACGACGGGGATCATTCATCACACAGCTCATAAACTTTGTAACTTCTACTTTGTAATGTATCATGCCTTTCGAAAGCTGTTTTCAAAGAATAAAAACAAGAAATGAATTGAACAATATTATGGCTTGCCTTAATTTTTGGGAATACCTTAGGTATATTTTTCCCTTAATTATTAAAAACTGAATGAAGCGCCCCGATAATCAATTATTGTGAACCATTCAACCCGACTTCAATAGTGCGGCAGCAAACTCAAGCAATAAATTAAACAAATTTTATTGCGTGTTCTTATGTATCGTGTTACAGAAGCACCAATTCTTGAGACAACGGCGGAGTGGTCGTATATGTGCCAATGCAAAAGTCGAAGAGGAAAAAAAAAGTAAGAACAGTTCAGGCTCGGTTATTAAAAAAAATGGGCCCGTATCTGCATTTTTCACTGCAAGTGTCGTCGAAAGACGATAGTCTTGCGTGTGGAGAGAGTGAACGAAATGTTTATTTGATGTACTGCGCGAGCAAATCGGTGAATTGTATTCTGGAAGTACTGTGTTAGAGAGTCTCGATCCGTGCAGCGAAGGCTAATGAGCGCATCAAGGCACGTTAGACACGTGTGCCATCTGGTAGTTATTTTCGAAAACGAAGGAAGGTGTGCGCGCCCACGGAGAAAGATGCGTGCCCATCTCGGAGGCGATAAGATGTAGAACGCAAAGCGAAAGGCAGGTGCCACCACCGTGTCGTCTTAGCAAAACGTTAGAAACCCTTGCCTTTTTCAGCATCGCGTTGCACTGTCAGCGCAGCGTGATAAACGCTATGGTCTTTAGAATTACCTATGTGTACCTTCTCTAGTGTAAAGCACACATACAAAATATGCACGTGTTGTTATGGTACCTCAGATGTGCGCAATATTTGCTTTTAATTGACAATCGCACAACTATGAACGCTGAAACTTGAGCAATATCGGTGGGCGCTGCGGATGGGATTGCCCGTTAGAAGTACCGCTTGGTGCCGTTAGGGGTATCGTTACCGCGGGCAAACAGACAAACAAACAGACAGACAGACAGACCAAAACTGTGGTGTTGAAAGTCCCCAAGAAAGACTATCGTCTTTAAAAATATATTTACTCACCTTGACGAATCGGTCATAAATCGTGCGGCAGAGGGATTCAAAAATGATAGTCAATACATAAAAATATAAAAATACTTGAACTGAATTATCAAAGAAACTAAGTAATAAGTATATAATTGGCTTATTAACATGACAAATACTTTCATTCTTTCATATAAATATATAACAACCCATATATGTGTCTATTGCAATGACCCAGTGCCGACGTTTCTGTAGGGAGAGTAAGATCATTTCATAACTCTCTTGCCCAAGGTTTTTGAACGAGTATGCGACAAATCTTTGGCTTGAATTGTGGTACCTGTGACATTTTATAATAAAGTGCGCTAAGATTTCTGCTTGTTTACAATAGTAACATTAAGGGGTAGGAATAAAACCAGGTCTGTGCAAATAAAAATTCAGACGTGGAATTCTGCATCGCAATTCAGTCCCTTGGATCTTCTCTTTGGCAAGCACGCTCAAATCATGACAGGTAGATTGCCACTATCTCTCAAGAACAAGATATAAAACAGGTGCATCTTGCCGCCACTTAGCTAAGGAGCAGAAACCTGGATACTAATGAAGAGGGCACAGCTTAAAAATGTGGTGGTTTGGGCTAATTGGTATGACATGATGATAGTTATAGCGCGAGAACAGAACGACGACAAAGGGACAAGAAGGAGACGAGCGCTAACTTCCAGAGTTGGAAGTTATTCCTGCGTTGGAAGTTAGCGCTCGTCTTCTTGTTGTCCCTATGTCATTCTGGTCATCAAATATCATCGGTTGAGCTTAAATTGAGGACGACGCAGCGAGCAATAGAAAGGAAAATGGTAAGTGTAACCTCAAGAGACAAGAAGAGAGCAGAGTGGGTCAGGGAACAAACCAGATTGGTTGGTTGGTTGTTCCTCGGAGTCTTGGCGCAACCCACCACGGGGGATCGGCCATTAAAGGGACGGTGCCTCATTTGTGAGATGGAATCGTTTTACCAGCCGGATTATTTAGATGAGGATGTTTAAACAAAGAACGAATTGGTAGACGATAGATTAGAAATAAAATAAATAAAGGTAACGCAAATAAACTAACAAGCTAATATGGTTTAAAACAAAGTGAATTTATGCCTCAGCTTAACATTTAATCGTTTTGTTGCCTTTAGAAAATCGCATACGGCCTCGCAAACGTTCCTGTGGCTAAATCACCTTTCAGTTGCTCCAACGGAAAAGACCACCGGAAGGGATAAATTTAGAGCCAACCTACGGAGAGATTCTGCCAACAGTCTCTTCTTATGGTTTGTATATAACTTGCATGTTAAGAGGAAATGGTGAAGAGATTCGCTCTAGTTGCAGTGGAGGCTTAGGGGAAATGGTGCGAGACCAAACCTGTGTAGATGAAAATTCAGAAGGGGGGGGGGGGACTTGGCATTGTAGTCTCGTAATTGATATCCCCGCCATTCTAGAGAAGCACCATCGATTTTGCCAGGGGTTTAACATGGAAAAAATCTGTTCTTGCCAAGCGAGATTTTTTAAACTGATCTGACATGAAAAATTTTTCAAAGCGTGCCACGGCAATAAATGCTAGCGTCAGCAATAAAGAAATTATGGAATAATTATGTGAGGCCACTGCGAGTGCATCTGCATATCCATTGAGAATAAAGCGTTATGCCCTGGTATCCCCACCAAGCGAATGAGTCGTAAACGTCTTAGGGCAAGGGTTTAAAATACTTTTAAAGCATAGGACATATTAGGCGCAGTTAATGAACTTCATACAGACAAGCAGTCTGAAAGAAAAATAGCATATGTTGCTGACTGAGGTAATTTTCGTAACGTAATTCCGAAGTAATTCCGCTTGATAAATAGGTGTAAAACCGGGTAAACGAATCGAAAAAGACCAAATCAACACTGAAGATGCAATGCCGACTCCTGCCTTCTCTTCGCGAACTGAAGCATCAGCTGCTATTACAATCTTTGTGTCTAATCTTGCCTGGTGGTCTTTCAATATGGCATCTAGGTACCTATGTACTGGGAAGAGTTTTGAGTTAAGATATCATAGTTGAAATGAAGTAGATGAAATGGACATGGGCCGAGCATGTAACGCGTAGGCAGGATAACCGCTGGTCATCATAGGTAACTGATTAGTTGCTAGAAAGGGCAAGCAGGTTCGGGGAAGACAGAAAGTTAGGTGGGCAGATTGAAGTTAAGAAGTTTGAAGCTATAAAATGGCAGCAGAAAGCACAAGACTGATTTGACCGGCGGAACGTGGGAGCATTGCCCAGCAGTGCGCGTAGCCTGGCTGATGATGATAATGATGCTGATGATGATCATGCTGATGATGATGATGATGATTTTCTCTTTCGCTTCTGGAACACGTGCGTCGATTTTCCGAGGGATGCAATAACTTTGATGGGCTAGAAAACGAGTACAGAGAGAAAAAGAGAGAGAAAAGAAACGGTGGACAGAATCAAATAGGATGAAAGACATTCAGAACGAAAGAAAGAGAGGCCACATAGAAGAAGATATACAGAGAGTTGCTTTACGCAACACAAATTTTTTTCTTCAAAAATTATAGCAGGTATAGACACTTGTCGTGTTCGCAGCCAATTTCTAAGCTGAGGCGGAAACACTTTGCCAGTAGTTAGTTCATTCGAAGGTTTTGCCAATAATTACTTAACTTAGGCATGATAAGTCCACAAGAATAATTGAATTAGACTTCTTATCAATTTTAGGATGCTTGTTTATATGGCGAAATTGTTCTACGCTACAAATCATGGTGAGCTCGTATTTTAAGATTTGAAAATATCACGCGTGATTTCAGAGACCCATCTTCGAATTTGCAGCCCGCGGTGCCGGAGAAACCGAAACTAGCGCACCACAGCGTTACTTTTGACGAACGTGGGTAGTGTAGGCAAACTTGGTGCGTCATGCACGGCCTCCGAGATTGCGGGCGCGCTGTGGGCTATCTCGGAGGTCATGCGTTATGCAAGTGAGTTCTGTGGAAACCCGCAAGGTCGAGGAAGGGTGATGAAAGGGTAACAGAAATCCGCAGCCAATGGTGTGGATGTTGCTGTTGATAGTAGTAGCGCAGTGATTGGAAGCTGTGACGCTCTAGTTACGACGTGCCGGGAAGCAGAGCTATTTTTGCATTCCCTGTCATTCGCCCTGGAAGCTTTTCTCCAGGGAGATAGGGGGAAAGAGAGTATGCGCTGAGCCAGCCGCAAGTTTCAGGTTGCCTCACACACATACTGCGCCATGACCAGTGCTTGGACGCTATTGTTGGAATGAAAGATAAAGAAATGTGGATTGTGCTGAATGAACAAATTGTGCGCAAATAAAATGCCGAATTTGGATTTCTCTAGTGACTGTTTGAATTTGTGTGCTTTATCAGATGCGCAGTTCGTACAGCTGCTGCACGAAGCGTGCCTCAGAGTAACAGTAACGCATGTCTTCGGGCTGTATTTGTTTTGAATAATTCAGAAAAGTGCTGTTATGCTTTTCATTGTGCTGTTATTACAAACGTGAATGATCTTTACCGTTATAGCGAGTGCAAAGAAATAACTCGGTCAATGCTGCCTTCGTCCTTCATCAATGCTTCGTGGCACGAACATGTGCGCCCGGCGCAGCGGCTCAGGCACACGCGCTCTCCTGCAGCGCCGATTTGGGCAACGGGTGGTTCAAATATTCCAGAATTATGAGAGAAGAAGTACAAAGAAAGTGAAAGAAACAGAAATCAGGGGAAAGAGATGAACAGCGAAAAAGAGAGGGATCCAGAGAAAGAAATACAGAAAGAGAGA